CACTAGGCCTGGGAGAGTGAGTCCAGAGGAGACCACCATGGGAGAGGGCAGCAGGAGAGGAGAAGTCTGAGGTTTCCGTAATTGCAAGCAGGTTAAAGAAGTTTGTGATAAAAAGGTCATGGACAGAGGTGAGTTTGATACAGACAGAGCGGGCATTCCAGAGGGCCCAGGAAAAGGGGAGGCTGGTTCTAGGAAGAAGAGGAATAGTAGCCAGATTGTGTGGATTGCGGTCGCTGTTAGAATGTAGGGAGTGCCGGGTGTGTTGGTCGAAGGAAAAAGATGGCGGTCCAGGATGTGGGGAAATGTCTCCAGATGTTAGGAGAAGCAGAAGGGTGAGAGAGGTAATATGGGAGTAGGACTTATATGGAGGGACAGGTCCCAGTGTCCTGGAGGTTTTATTTAGTATGTAGGTTCAGAATTAGCAGGAGTTGAGTACAGTAGTAAGGTGAAGACAGGAGTGAGGGTGATATACAGTTGTGTTCAAAATAATAGCAGTGTGTTGAATAAAGTTAATAAAGCTGAAAATCCTTCTAATAGCTTTTATTTCCATACACACAAATGCATTGGGAACATTACACATTCTATTCCAAATCAAAACATGAAGAAAAATAGATAAAATTTGTGTTGTTCCTCTAAAAAATTTGAAGAAAAGTGAATATTAGACTGTTCAAAAAAATAGCAGTGTTTGTATTCTTCTTTACAAACTCAAACATTCACTATATAAACTGAAAAATGTTTGAAGATTTTGCTTTCCTTTGAATCACTTAATGAATATTTCGTTGTATAAGCACTGTTTCTGAGAACTGCTGTACATCTGTGATGCATGGAGTCAACCAACTTCTGGCACCTGTGAACAGGTATTCCAGCCCAGGATGATTGGACTACATTCCACAGTTCTTCTCTATTTCTTGGTTTTGCCTCAGAAACTGCATTTTTGATGTCACCCCACAAGTTTTCTATTGGATTAAGATCCGGGGATTGGGCTGGCCACTCCATAACGTCAATCTTGTTGGTCTGGAACCAAGATGTTGCACGTTTACTGGTGTGTTTGGGGTCGTTGTCTTGTTGGAACACCCATTTCAAGGGCATTTCCTCTTCAGCATAAGGCAGCATGACCTCTTCAAGTATTCTGATGTATTCAAACTGATCCATGATCCCTGGTATGCGATAAAAGGGCCCAACACCGTAGTATGAGAAACATCCCCATATCATGATGCTTGCACAACCATGCTTCACTGTCTTCACAGTGTACTGTGGCTTGAATTCAGTGTTTGGGGGTCGTCTGACAAACTGTCTCCGGCCACTAGACCCAAAAAGAACAATCTTACTTTCATCAGTCCACAAAATGTTGCGCCATTTCTCTTTAGGCCAGTCAATGTGCTCTTTGGCAAATTGTAACCTCTTCAGCACGTCTTTTTTTCAACAGTGGGACTTTGTGGGGGCTTCTTGCAGATAGCTTGGCTTCACATAGGCGTCTTCTAATTGTAACAGTACTCACAGGTAACTTTACACCTTCTTTCATCTTCCTGGAGCTGATTGTTGGCTTTTGCCATTTTGGCTATTCTTCTATCCATTCGAATGGTAGTTTTTCGCTTTCTTCCACGTCTTTCAGGTTTTGGTTGCCATTTTAAAGCATTTGCGATCATTTTAGCTGAGCAGCCTATCACTTTCTGCACTTCTTTATATGTTTTCCCCTCTCCAATCAACTTTTTAATCAAGGTACGCTGTTCTTCTGAACAATGTCTGGAACAACCCATTTTTCTCAGAATTTCAGAGAGAAATGCATTGTAACCAGCAAGTACAACATTTGCTGCCTTCCTTCCTTAAATAAGGGCAATAATTGCCACCTGTTTTTCAAAGAATGAATGACCTCACTAATAGAACTCCACACTGCTATTATTTTGAACATGCCCCTTTCAATTAGTGATTCAATTACACAGAATCAGCAGCATGCATGTCATGACTGTTGGGTCTGTTGGATTTCTATTACTCTACTATACCTGCTAGTAAATTATTTGCCATGTAGAAATATAATTTCTACCAAAAACAGTGATTGATCAGGTTAGTGATGTCTGACTACTATTATTTTTAACACAACTGTATATATAAGCTGTGGGGTGGAGAAGAGGGGTGAAGGCGAGAGAGTTTGAAGAGAGAGGATACATCGGTAAGAAGGAGGAGTAGGGAGTGCATGGTGGTGAGATGAAGAAGCAGACGGGGTAAGAGACGAAAAATCTGGATGGGGAAACAGGTCACCTGTAGTCTCTTTAATATTTGAAGTTGTCTGCTTCTTGCTTTGTGCCATTAGAAGTGTGGTGCTTCAAATGTTTACATGTTATGTGCAATTAAACCATGGCAACATCTAATGTTTGTGTAGTATTATGTTCAGCAGACTGTGTTCTTCTATTGTTGTGACTTAGATGACGTTCAGAGCACATTTTATGCCCAATTCATGCAAAACTCCACGTAATCCCAAGGGGTTCACATACTTTTTCTTGCAACTGTATATATATATATATATATATATATATATATATATATATATATATATACGATTTTTGGAGCCAATTGAACAGGGGTTAAAAAATGTTCTGGCATTCATCCGAACAGTCAAAGTTCAGTCTGAAATGAGGTTCAGATCGAACCGTCAGCTCAGCCCGAGATACTAGTTACTACTGAGGGACAGAAATTGTTCATTACTCCAAACTCTAGAACCCTTTGGAGGAACCCTGGCTGAGAAAGGCTGGACTAGGCAGTCATATATTTCTGTCCCCCTTGGTGGGAGTGGAGGTGACCCCTATATGAGGACATACAGTCCATACACACCCAGCACAAGGTCGGGGTCACACTACCAGATGGTTCTCGGGGCTGCAGTTCCTCTGAGCTCCACAAGGTGGTGATCTCATTTCTACTCAGACAGGAAGTCTGTATGGAAGACAGGAAGTGAGTTCAGGGACAGAGAGGAAGTGATGTCAGGAACAGAGAAGAAGTTGTGGCCGAAGCAGAGGAGAGACATTATTGGAAGTGGCAGCAGAGGAGGTAATAAGATCTTATTTATATTTACATCCAGTAACCCCCCCGTCATGTCCATCCTCTTCCTCCATCATCATGTTCATCCTCTTCCTCCACCGTCACGCCCGCCCTCTCCCTCCACCGTCACGCCCGCCTTCTCCCTCCACCGTCACGCCCGTCCTCTCCCTCCAGCGTCACGCCCGTCCTCTCCCTCCACCGTCACGTCCGTCCTCTTCCTCCATAGTCACTGTGACGTCTTTTATCTCCAGCAGATGATGATACACACATATATAGCGTGGGAACCCAGATTAACCCCTTCAGGGGCAGAACATTCCCCCACTTCCGGGGCCGGAACATTTCCATTAAATATATATATTTTCTTGATCAATTAACGTGCTTACCTGTCTAGGTCACATGACCAGATCAATGAGGATGGAGGAGGACCGGAGTCACATGACTGAGAGGATACTAAACCTCACCCTGGAGATCATCTACCTGCTGACCGGAGAGGTGAGGAGGATTCTGGGAGGTCACATGACATCACTCTCATCTCTATTAATAAAACACAGACCTGACCGGAGAGGTGAGGAGGATTCTGGGAGGTCACATGACGTCACTCTCATCTCTATTAATAAAACACAGACCTGACCGGAGAGGTGAGGAGGATTCTGGGAGTCTAACATGATGTTCCTATTGGTTCCCCAATACAGAGATTTCCTCTTCTGAAGTCAGGTGATCATATGACCATCACAGTGCCTCCATGTGACTCCCTAAACCCTGAGAGACACAACATGGAGAAGATTCTAGAAGTCACCAAGAAGATCATTGAGCTGCTGACAGGAGAGGTGAGCGGTGCCGGGAATTCTGGGACATTCTCCAGTAACAGACAAGGGATGTGTCTGGATGGTGACTGTATCATTGTGTGTGTCAGGTTCCTATAAGGTGTCAGGGTGTCACTGTCTATTTCTCCATGGAGGAGTGGGAGTATTTAGAAGGACACAAGGACCTCTACAAGGACGTCATGATGGACAATCAGCCGCCCCTCACATCACCGGGTAAGAGGAGACTTTATTGCAACTACATTGTCCGCGTGTCCTGTCTTATTTATTTATATAATTTTTGGGGGGGAATTTTTTTGAAGGACCTTTTTCCTAGTTCCTTTGGGGGTGGAATTGTGCGCTCCTCCTCAGAGACCAAGCTGCCTGATGTGGGCGGAGTCCTGGTTTGGGGGAACCAATCGGCTCCTGTCTAGTAATCCTCTTTGTCTTTGTATTTTAGTCCATGGCCGGGAGATGAGGAAAACCTTTGAGGATTGTCTCACTTTGTTTCCAGACTGGAAAGTAGAAGATGAGGACATCACACAGTATAGTCCAGGAGAAAACCTGGCTCTCTCCAATGTCCATCCGTCACCACCCAGTGTAGATGGACCATCAGATTCCTCGTATCCTGAGGAACCTCAGACTGTGCGGGACCGGGCTTGCCTTCCAACGGGGAAGAGCTTCTCCTGTCCTGAGTGCGGGAAATGTTTTGTACAAAATTCAGATCTTGTCACACATCAGGGATCTCACACGGGGGAAAAACCGTATTCTTGTTCTCAGTGCGGGAAGTTCTTTTCAGAGTTGTCCAGTCTTTACAGACATCAGGTATCTCACACGGGGGAGAGGCCGTATACCTGTGCTGAGTGCGGGAAATGTTTTTCAGGTAAGTTCCATCTTTATAGACATCAGAGATTGCACACAGGTGAAAAGCCATATACCTGTTCTGAGTGTGGGAAATGTTTCTCAAGAAAGTCACATCTTTGCACACATCTAAGGTCTCACACTGGAGAGAAGCCGTATTCCTGTCCTGAGTGCGGGAAATGTTTCTCAAGGAAGTCATATCTTTGCACACATCTGAGGTCTCACACCGGAGAGAAGCCGTATTCCTGTCTTGAGTGCGGGAAATGTTTTTCACAGGAGGCCCATCTTTATAAACATCAGAGATCCCACATGGGGGAAAAACCGTATTCCTGTGCTGAGTGCGGGAAATGTTTTTCAGACAAGTCCACTCAAAAGAGACATCAGAGACTGCACACGGGGGAGAAACCGTATTCCTGTACTGAGTGCGGGAAATGTTTTTCAAGGAATTCACATCTTTCCAGACATCAGAGATCTCACACAGGGAAGAAGCCGTATTCCTGTCCTGGGTGTGGGAAATGTTTTACACGGAAATCCATTCTTGACACACATCAGAGATCTCACACGGGGGAGAAGCCGTATTCCTGTCCTGACTGCGGGAAATGTTTTTCAGTGAAGTCCCATCTTTCCAGACATCAAAGATCTCACACAGGGGAGAAGCCACGTTCCTGTCCTGAGTGAGGGAAATGTTCCTCAATGAAGTCCTGTCTTCCTGTACATCCGGGGTCCCACATAACCCTGGAGGTGTATTAGTGCCTTGAGTGCGGGAAATGTCTTCTAGATGAATGTTGCTGGACATCCCAACTCTCATGTGGGGAAGAAGCACACCCTGATATACACCTCAGATATACTCCATGGCTGATCTTCATCATGGAAGAAACAGTTCATAAGGAGATCAGAGGTCACCATAGACGTTGATGAAGTGTGGGACCGGGTTGGCAATTGATAGCAGGAGAAGAATAAAAATGGCATCCTTACCTGTCATTGGCTGAGGATATTTTGTGGGGGGAGATTTCATTTCACAAACACTTAGAGATCCATTTAACCACTTCAGCTCCGGAAGATTTTACCCCCTTCATGACCAGGACATTTTTTTTTTGCTGTTCTGCACTGTGCTACTTCAACTGGTAATCGTGCGGTCATGCAACACTGCACCCAAACAAATGTTCTATTGTTTTTTTTCTCATGGAAACAAGAGCTTTCTTTTCACCACTGTGGGGGGGGGGGGGGGGGGGGGGGGGGGGGGGGGGTTTTTAAGCGAAAAAAAAAAATTATTATTTTCTGCTTTCTGTTAAACATATCCAATAAAAACAATGGAAACAAGTCAAATAGTCAAATTCATAATAAATTCTTCATAAATTTTTTGGTAACAAAAAAAAAAAAATAGTAAGTGTATATTGATTGTTTTGGGTGAAGGTTATATCGTCTCCAATACGGGATATATACTGGGATTAGGATTTATTCATTTTTTATGTACTAGTAATGGCGGTGATCAGCGACTTACAGTGGGACTGTGATAGTGCGGCAGGCAATCTGACACTAACTGACACCGGGGGGGGGGACTCAGTAACTGACACCAGGGAGGGGAGGAACTCAGTAACTGACACCAGGGAGGGGAGGAACTCAGTAACCGACACCAGGGAGGGGAGCAGGAACTCAGTAACCGACACCACGGGGTGGAGGAGGAACTCAGTAACCGACACCTGGGAGGGGAGGAGGAACTCAGTAACCAACACCAGGGGGTGGAGGAGGAACTCAGTAACCGCCACCAGCGGGTGGAGGAACTCAGTAACTGACACCAGGGAGGGGAGGAACTCAATAAATGACACCAGGATGGAGGAGGAATTTAGTAACTGACACCAGGGGGTTTAGGAGGAACTCGGTAACTGACACCAGGGGGTGGAGGAGGAACTCAGTAACTGACACCAGAAAAGGGAGGAACTCAACTAACACCAGGGAGTGGAGGAGGAATTCAGTAACTGACACCAGGGGGTTTAGGAGGAACTTAGTAACTGAGACCAGGGAGGGGAGGAACTCAGTAACTGACACCAGGGGGTGGAGGAGGAACTCAGTAACTGACACCAGCGGGGGGTGGAGGAGGAACTCAGTAACTGACACCAGGGAGTGGAGGAGTAAACTCAGTAACTGACACCAGGGAGGGGAGGAACTCAGTAACTGACACCAGGGGGTGGAGGAGAAACTCACTAACTGACACTGACATCAATACAGTGATCGGTGCTTATACTCTAAACTATCACTCGGGTGGACTGACAACTCATGGGGCCCCCCGGGCAATAGGGGATCATGGGGCCCCTGTGTCCTTGCCCAAACAAAAAAGCCTATGGAAAAGGTACCAGGGGCATCTCATGGGGTCCCCTACTGACCCCGGGCCCTCGGGCAGTGCCTGAGTTTCCAAATGGTCAGTCCGCCCCTGCTGTCACTGTACCTATGACACTGGCTGGGAAGGGGTTAACATCTTGGGGGAGAACCAGTGCTAAGACATGTCATGTGTGCTGATTTTTTACTAAAGATTCCTTTGTTTCTTACCCCTGCTTTGCAGGGATAAGAAACAGAGAGATTGTTCCCTCTGTACAGAGCCCTGTGTTGATTATCAACACAGAGCTCTGGGCTGTGATTGGACACAGCCAATAAGCAGGTCCTGCCCAATCATTGGCCGGGACCTGCTGGCAAACTCCCTGTGCGCCCTACACCCGTAACCTACCAGTTCATCAGTCGGCCTTTACGGGCCGTTTGTTTGCAGTACACTTGAGCATGTCCCGGATGGTCACCGGACCTTTGACTGGGACCTGCTGACAGACTCCCGCTGTGTCAAATCGCAGCAGGTTCGTTGCGGGGGGCGCGTGTACACACGCCCTACACCCGGAAACAGGCAGTGACCTACCAGCATGACAGTTTGCCTCTATGGGCAGTACGCTGTGGGAGGGGGGTCCGTAGCTTGTGTGTAAGATGCTAATTGACTGGCTGTGCAGGACTATAGGGGGGGACCCAAATTCATCAGCCACCCCTAAGGGGGTAGTGCTACGTGTGTGTGTCATAAAGACGAACTTAGTTACCCGAAAATTGCTCATAGGTGGCGCTTCAAAAGCCTTTGCAGGTCATCAGTCTAGAGTTAACTGGGAATAAAGGGCCTAGAATGATTGCTCTCACTGTGGCGTGTATGGCGATATGTAACGTGTGTAGCGCAACCACTATTCCGTATGGGCACCTGCGATGGGTGCATTACGTTCCTAGGCATGGGTGCTGAAAAATTTGTGTGAGGGAGGGGGGGGGGTTAGGTGCTTGGGAGTATCTTTATTATCTTCATCGTACAGTACGGGACGCAGGCAACATATTTATACACCATGGGTTATAGGTAAGTACCTTCATGTGATTGGACACTGGCAAGTTTTTGAGGACACGCCAGCCTGGGGCACCAACCCTACCCTACTCAGCGATGCAGCACTTGATGGACCTCTTCCCCTTCATGGAGAAATCAGCTTCACTAGTTTCTTTTTTTATTTTTCTTTATTTGATTTCTTCAATGAACATCTCACTGTCCTATAGAGAAGCAGTGTCTCCAGGCCGGAGCAACCTCGGTAAAACCTTGGGAGTTGTATTTAAACCCTACTTTGTGAAGACAATGCAAATCTGAGGACACGCCGGCCTGGAGCACCAACCCTACCCTACTGTCAAGGTCCTACCTTTCCTCAGACCTTGTGCTGCTCCATGTACTGGCATCCATCTTAGGTGTCTGCAAAGCATTGTGGGATTCTTTATGCTTTCAGCCCTCTGTGGCTCCTCCCTCAGGAGGTGGCGGCTTATCACATATAAGTCTGCTGTTTGTGGCTGTCCATTGCATTCGTGTCCTGTCTGTTGCACCTAATTGCACCTCCTTGTGTGTCTGGCTCCTCGCTCCCTGACATACACGAATGCCATGAATCCTGACGGTGCAGGTACGCCCCCGCTCCCTATGTTGGTTGCCAGACTTGATCAGCAGGATCTCTTGTTGGCTCAGTTCACTCAGGCGTTGCAGATGCTGCTTGCATGCACAGCGCACCTTGCTCCTGGTGCTATTAGGCCGGTTGTTACTCCCTGTGGTCGCTCCCGTTGTTGCGCCTACCTCCGCATCTGCTGCCGCACCTGCGGTGCCCAGAGGTATGACTGGTTCAGCCCCCCTTCCACAGCGCTTTGGGGGTGAACCGAGTCACTGTCGGGGTTTCCTTAACCAAGTGGGCATATATTTTGAATTGATACCCCACGCTTTTCCTACTGAGAGGTCAAAGGTGGGCTTGCTAATCTCTCTGCTCTCGGACAAGGCCTTGGCCTGGGCAAATCCCTTATGGGAGAACAATAACCCTGTGATTCATGAGTTTGCCGGTTTTGTTGCCTTCTTCTGTATGGTATTTGATGTGTCTGCTCGCTCCACCTCTGCTGCTAAGCTGCTCATGTCCATGCATCAGGGTTCACAAACTGTTGCCGAGTACACCAAAGAATTGCGTACCCTGGCGGCAAAGGTGGGTTGGAACAATGAGGCTCTGGTGGCTGCTTTCTCTAATGGTCTCTCAGATGCGTTGAAGGACGAGATTGCAGCCAAAGAACTGCCTGTGGAGCTTGAATCACTCATTTCCTTCCTAATCTTGATTGACACCAGGCTCAGGGAGAGGCCTTCACTTAAGGAGCATCTGCGGAGGCCTCCTAACCGATTGGTGCCTACGTTTACTATCCCACCCGTTCCTCCCTCTCCTCCCACGCCACCTGGGGATGGCTTGTCTGGCGGTGAGCCCAAGCAGCTGGGGTTTGCTCGCCTTTCCGAGGGAGAGCGGGCCGCTTGGCTTTTGGAGGGTCGCTGCCTGTACTATGGTCTCGGTGGGCATTTTCGGCAGTCCTGTCCGGTCCGTTCGGGAAACGCTCGCACCTGAGATCCTGTCGGGGGCAGATCCTGGGTGGAATTTCCTCGTCCTCAGTTTCCCGCAAAGATAAACTGCTAATCACCGTTGTCCTCTCTTGGGAGGAAGGCTCAGTGACGGCCCAGGCGTTGGTAGACTCTGGTGCTGGCGGGTTGTTTATGGACAGTTCGTTTGCTGCCCAGTACTCCATTCCTCTGCAGGCTCGAGTTACTCCATTGGTTCTCGAGGCGATAGATGGCAGGCCCCTGCAACTGCCGCAGGTTACCCACGAGACCCTGCCAGTGGAAGTAGCTATTGGGGCTGTTCACAGGGAGTTGGCCTGTTTCCAGGTAATTTCTTCCCCGCACTACTCCGTGGTTTTGGGATATCCCTGGCTTCAGAAGCACAATCCGACCTTTGATTGGCGGTCGGCCGAGATTCTCTCGTGGTCTCCACAGTGTGGGGCCAGTTGCATCCATGGACCTGTTAAGGTGTTGTGTGCCTCCTCGGACTCTGTGTTGCCCACTGACTATGGGGAGTACCTGGACATGTTTGACAAGGTGCGCGCCGGTGCTCTGCCTCCTCATCGTCCATACGATTGTGCCATAACCTTACAACCTGGTGCCACTCCTCCGCGTGGCAGGGTGTATCCTCTTTCGGTTGCGGAGAATCAGGCCATGGAGGAGTTTGTTGCTGATGCACTTTCCCGGGGGCACATTCGCAAGTCTACTTCTCCAGCAGGAGCTGGCTTTTTCTTCGTGAAAAAGAAGGGTGGTGAATTGAAGCCTTGCA